GCCACGTCCGGGCCCGAGGACAGGGTGCGGCTCGGGCCCGGCCCGGCCCGGCGGGACTCGCTTGGCGGCTGCTCGCGCACAGGCAACTCGGGCCGGGCCGGTGCGGAGCCGGCGATGGCCTCAAATCGTGGGAGCTGAGCGGTGCCAGCTGCAATTGTTGCATTCCTCAGATTCACCGAGGCGGCGGCGGGGGGGGCTCTGCCAACTGGCCTGTGCTTTGCTTCAGCAGTTGCTTATTTCCCCCCCTTCATCAGTGGGAGGATTTAAGGTGAACTGCAAAGGCGGTCTGGAAAGGTGGGCTCCTGTCCTCTCTGCACTGCTTTACCATGTGTAGAGAAGCCACCCCTTCCCCCCCAAGTTTAGTTTTGTTTTATTATTTGTTTCTTACCTTAGGGATGCCTGATGTTTTGAGTTTCTTCTCTGCTTGTTCTGGAAGACTTCTTAGAGGTCTTGAGGCTTTTTCATGCTTTGGTTTAACTAGTCCTTTCTGGTTAGATGTGAAGCATGTAGAACACAAGCAGCAACAAAGCAGGAGTTTTAAGCAGTTTGAATAAAAATCTCTTCCTCTCTGAGCAGCTCCGGTTTCACTCTTGTGTTACTGGCAACCAGCTCTCAGTTTGTCCATAGAGTCTTGCAGGAAGAGGCAAGGTCTGAATATTTTATGGAAGGAAAAACAAACAAACAGAAAAGGGAAATACTTCTTTCCTCTTAATAACTTTTCCTGCCTACAGACTGTTTCATCAAGAAACAACCCAGCTCCAAGGCTAGTTGCTTTCTCCTTTGCAGAGCAATCGTAGTGTCAAAGTCTTAGCCTTGGGTCATATACAGGGAAGGGGCAGTGTGTTGAGTGGTGCAAGCCAAATTCAGGCTCCACTGAAGTGAGTGCAGTTACACGCTGGATGAATTTGGCCCTGTATCTTTTAAACTTTTTGATCTAATGGAAAAAGAATGACCAGCAAGAGTGCAGCTTTCCTGCTTCTGGGACTGGAGATCTCAAAAGCTGAACACAGCAGGTGAAGGGACTTGATTTGGATTGTTTTTTAGGGACTGGGTAATCTAGAACAGGTAAAGCTTTGCTATTGCTTTTCCTTTTCCTCTCCAGCATCCGAGAAATCTGTTTTGCAGTGTGCAGGAAACGCTGGTGAAGAGTTCTGCAGATGGCACTTGTCCGTCCCAGCAAGTGGGAAGCCTGCGTGTTCTTTGTGTGAGACCGTATTGGGGGAAGGGTGAGGAGTTTGAGCAGTTAGCAGATCTGGACACACATCTCGTCCTGGATCTTCCAAGAGGGGGACATGCTTGAATGCTGATTAAGAATGACAGTGAACCAGTTTGTCTTTTAAAAATATTATCCACTAGCGTGTAAACTGCAATTACAGTCTGAAAAGGAGGGAAAGCCCTAATTGCAGGATCTCCTCCTCTTCTGCCTCTAGAATACTAGAGAACAATGCAGTGCGATGTACAGCAGGAAAGGATGACATGGGCACTCCCAGCATGAGAACCACCAAATACTTGTGCTTGTGATTAAATTATATGGCAGACTAAGACACTGAAGAGAGCGCTTGTGGTGCTCTATTGGGTCCAACCAGGTATCCATATAACCAGCTTACTAGAATCTACCACGCTCACAATAAAGAAACCTGACTTATTTCCTAGGTAGTTACAGTATTGGACCTGCCATCTGGGGATAGTCTTACATTTGCAGTTCTTCAGTCAATTGGAGATGTATCTTGATTAGGTGACCTTGTCTTTCCTTATAACGTGGCAGAAGCAAGCTCTGTGTAGGAATTACTCTTCCTTCTATAATAAAATATAATTTTTACTAGACAGTGAACTTCATTAAAAAAAACAAACTTTGTATGATACTGTTTTAACCTCTCAATTACTTTTCGGTCGGGATGATGTGTGGTGCTTTTCACTTAGTTTAGACTGGGGTGTGCAACCTTCTGGCCCTGCAGGCTGCCTAGGTGTATGGTAATGGGGCTAGTTTGTGGACTAAATGAATCCCACGGGTGAGATCAGTCCATGGACCTGAGCCAGGGTCAGCCGATGGGGTCATCTGCAGGTGCAGTCTTGCACACCCATCTGGCTCCACACACTGGATCTGACTGTGTATTGATACCATGCGCTGGCCTGACTCCACGTGCCTGATCTGGTCATGAAGTGGATTTGGCTATGGAGTGACTCTGAATTCAGTGCATGGGACTGTCATCTGGCCTGCAGGGGAGCCACAGCAGTTAATGTTGCCATCTCTCCCCTGCCACCAAATTTCCAAACTCATGGAGAGCCCTGTGGACTGGAGGTTGAGCACCAGTGATTTAGACAAAAAAAATCTTTCACTGAATTCTTTGTCTCTGGTTCTTGTGGACTACACATCATTACAAAATTTGGATTTTCAAGCATTGAGGTAGATGTTAGTACCCATAAACTGTCTTCATTGACAGGATGGAGCTGCAGACTTTGCAAACCTCTACTAGATTTTGTGCTTTTTAATTATTTTAGTAAGTCACATTTGAAAATTGTTCTTTTTTTAGGAGCTCTTCTTTAGTGACTTTAAAACTTTCTGGTTCTGTGCTGTTTTTTGGGATTGCAAAATGCAGCCGAAACAAGCATGACTTCCTTTTAAAAATGACTGAGAATTTTTACTGTAACTGTTCAGTGTAAAACATGTAAAGGCGGGGCACGGCCTGAGACTTTTGATTTAGCCAGGGCTTGACTCAGGCTCACTTACCCCAAAGGCTCCGGGTGGGAAAGTGGGGTGCGCTGTGGGCTGGAAGGAGGTGGGCTGCAGGCTGGGGATGGGGGGCACTGGCAGGGCTGGGGAGGGCCCTGTTGGGTGTGGGTGTGGGTGACTGCCAGGGCTGAGGGGAGGGTTGGGGGCTGTGGGAAGAACCAGCGGGGCAGGGTGGGAGTGTGTGGGTGGGGGCTGAGGGAGTGGGGAGGTGTCCGCAGGTGCTGTCAGGCCAGCATGGGAGAATCCAGGCAGCATCCCCGTCCCCTACTGGGGGTGAGGATGGGTGGGCAGGTGCCTAGCAGTGTTGAGTAGCCAGGGTACCTGCCCAGTCGCCCACTCCTGTGAGGAGAAGGCAGTGGCTATGGTACAGCACTGCAGCATGGGATGCTGCAGTGTCAGAGGCTGGGGCGGGTGATGAGCTGCTGCTGCCGTCCATGTGCCATTGTGCCAGGCCAGGCAGCTCCATGCCTCCATGTGGGGCTTCCAGCACTCCAGCGGGAAGCTGAATGTAGAGTCAAGCAGGAGCCCCATGTGGAGGCATGGTGACCGCCAGGCCCAATGTTGTGTGGCTCCTGGTCCATGTAACCTCGGGCCC